GCAAGGGGACTGGCAGGTGGGGGAGGCCAGGGCAGGGGACAGGACATGGGGGCTGAGCCAGGCCAGGGCAGAAGAGCAGACAGAGGCGCTGTGTGTGGCGCGCAGGGCAGGAGAAGGAGCTGATGGGCTGGGGTGTGGGGATGTGCTCAGACCAGGGGCGTGCACAGTGCGCGGGGAGGGTGGCGACTGAAAGCCTGCCCTGGGCTGGGGGCCAAGGGGTGATGGGCTGTCGCTGTCGCTGCAGATCCCTGCGGTCACGTGGCAGGACGTGGGCGGGCTCCAGGAGGCGAAGAAGGAGATCCTGGACACCGTCCAGCTGCCCCTGGAGCACCCCGAGCTGCTGTCTTGGGGGCTGCGCCGCTCCGGCCTCCTGCTCTACGGGCCTCCTGGGACAGGGAAGACCTTGCTCGCCAAAGCTGTGGCCACTGAGTGCACCATGACTTTCCTCAGGTGCAGAGGGGCTCGGCTTTCGGTGGCGGGGCGCTGGGTGGGCGCGGCTCCTTCCCCGGGGAGCTAACCGGGTCCCTGCTCTCTCCCCCGCAGCGTGAAGGGGCCGGAGCTCATTAACATGTACGTGGGGCAGAGTGAAGGGAATGTGCGCGAAGGTGAGTGGCGCTAACGGGCCCTCGGTCGCCTGCGGGTGCCACGGCTCACCCCGCCCCAGGGCCTGCCTGGTCTGTTTCCGCAGGCCTGCCTCTTTGTTTCCTGGCACGCCCGTCTCGTTTGCCTGTAAGCTCCTTGGGGCAGGGGCTGGCTGGGTTTGTGCAGCGCCTAGCGCAGGGGACCCTGCTCCATGGTGAGCTGTAAGGCACCTACTAAGTAACCAGAATGATGGGCGGCCCTCCTGGGGTGCTGCTGGCAGAGCTGCCCTCGTCTCTCTCTGTGCCTGGCATCATGTGCCCGGAGTAGCTCTCCCAAGCCGCCTCCTCCCCCACAGCTGTGGGTCTGGCCTGTCACGTCCCAGGTGGGCTGGCAGAGCCCGGAGTTGAGTGTCTCTGCAGAGCGGGGTGTAACGGTGCCTCCTGCTCTGAGCTGCTCGTTCGCTGGGGGGCCCCCAGGGGGCAGGTCTCTCTGCATAGCCCCATCCCGGTGCCCATGTGCTGCTCATGTCTCCCCCCCAGTGTTCGCCAGAGCCAGGGCAGCTGCCCCCTGCATTATCTTCTTTGATGAACTGGATTCCTTGGCACCCAACCGTGGGCGCAGCGGAGACTCGGGCGGCGTCATGGACCGGTGAGTGCTCGCTGCGCCCTTCTGCATTGCAGCTACCTTGGGATCCAGGGCGATTTGATACAAGTGGGGCGTGTGAGAGAGCCCAGCACCCAGCTTGGTGGCAGAATCTCCGCCAAGCTCTTCTGCTCCCCCCAGTCCTCTTGTTCTCCGCCACGGGCTTCAGACCACGTGGAGCATCCTCGTCTGCTGCTGATCGTCACGAGTCCTAAGGGCCTCCGGCTGAGGTTGGGCGCTCCTGGTGCTGGGCCTGGGGCAAGTACTCACAGACCCCCTGGGCGGGCAGAGACCTCAGAGTCATGGAGTCCAGCCCCCCGCCCAAAGCAGGACCAGGCCAGCCAGGGCTTTGTCAAGCCGGGACTTAGACACCTCTAGGGATGGAGACTCCAGCCGTTCCCTAGGGACCAATCCCAGCGCTTCCCCACCCTCCCCATGAAATGGTTTTTCCTAATCTCCAACCTAGACCTCCCCCACTGTAACTTGAGCCCATTGCTCCTCGTTCTGTCACCCGTCCCAACGGAGAACAGCCTCTCGCCAGCCTCTTTGGACCCCCTTCAGGGAGTTGAAGGCTGCTCTCAAATCCCCCCTCGCTCTTCTGCAGACTAAGTAAACCCAGTCCCTCAGCCTGTCCTCATAAGCAGGGCTCGACAGTCTATGTCATCCAGTCGCCCGTGGCGAATGGATTACATCCCGCGAGAGCCGGGTTCGGGCGATCTGCACATGTGCAGAACACCGGACAGCGCGGCTGGCGAGCGGGACTCGCGAGCCCTGCTCATAAGTCATGTGCTCCGGCCCCCTAATAATTGTCATTGCCCTCTGCCGAACTCTCTTCGGTTTGTCCTCGTCCTTCCTGTAGTGGGGGGCCCAGAACTGGACACAATACTCCAGATGTGGCCTCCCCAGAGCCGAGTAAAGGGGAATAATCACTTCTCTGGATCTGCTGGCAATGCTCCTCCTAATGCCCCCTAATACGCCATTCGCCCTCTTGGCTACAAGGGTGCCCTGGTGACTCCTCTCCAGCTTCTCAGCCACTGGAATCCCCAGGTTCTTTTCTGCCAAACTGCTGCGTAGCCAGTCGGCCCCCAGCCTGTACCAATACTTGGGATTCTTCCGTCCCAAGGGCAAGACTGCTGCTTAGCCAGTCGGTCCCCAGGCGTCTGCACTTGGCCTTGTGGAACTTCATCCGATTTCTTTTGGCCCGATCCTCCAATCTGTCCAGGTCGCTCTGGAGCAGCGATGGGCAATCTAGGCTGGTCAGCAGGCTGCGTGAGTGACCCTCCTTCGTCTCAATGGGCCGCAGGGTCATAACCAAGCCGGTCTCCCGGGACAGGGCAGTTTTGCTACGGCGCTCGTGTACCTGGGATTTGCAGGGGTGCCCACTGGCCCGTGGCAGCGCTGTGATTGGATGCAGGGGGAGCGCCCGGCTCTCGCAGCCTGTGTTGTGTGCAGTCAGCACACCCCTCGCGTCACGTGCCCTCGCTGTGTGTGTCACTGAGCAGTGCTGGGAGGAGAAAAGCGAAGTGGACAGAAACCACTGGAACCAGGCAGCCCTGCACGTGGGCAAGGGTAAATAACGTGTCTTAAGGGCCACACGTAGACCCCAATGGGCTGCAGGCAGCGTCTCTGCCTCTTCTCCCAGCTTCCTGCCGTCCGCGAACTTGCCGAGGGCACAGTCCATCCCTCGCCTGGGTCATTGAGGAACAACAGTGCCACTAATGAGCGCACTGAAACAGCAGAGCCAGCTTCACCCGTTTCCTGCCTGCCATGGGCGTGTCTGTCCCCCCCCGACTGTTCTGCCATTTCCTCCTCGCTGCTGGGCGTTATTTGTGTGCTTGGGGCTCGCACCCAGGCAGGCCACAGTAGGGGGCAGCTTTCAGGCTGCTGTGCAGAGATGTAGGAAGACACAGTCCTGGCCCCCACAGCCCCCTCTGCTGAGCTCAGACCCCCTGCCCCTGTCCTGTCTCTGTCCCTTTGG